TTAATCTGTTCATTCATTTTGTTTTGAAATATATGAATTTTTGAACACAAAAGAACAGACCGAACTAATTTGTACACCTAATAATTATTGCCTAGAGTGTTTTCTGAGGAAAAACGAAATAATTTCGATCAAATAACGCGTATTCCAAATAATAATCCATAAGGTGGAACAGTTGCTATCTGAGTGGTAGATATTATTTTATTTATACTGAGCAAATATGTATTACAGAATAATGCATTCCTTTAAATAAATTTGAAACAAATTTTTCACACTGAATTGGAACATCGTATTGAGAACAACGCTGAAAAGTTTAAAACGTAATAAATAATATAAATTAATAAAAAAGAAATAAGGACTCGTTATATATAAAAATAACAAAATGATGTCAAGGGCGATTAAAGAGTCAAAAAGAATTTTCGTTAAACAATAAAATATATAATTAGTCATTTTCAATAAAATTAAAACATTACTTAATACTAAATCGCCTACAAACATTTAACTATATAATAAATAAGTATTAAAATATAAGAAACGTTACAGTTTCGGCTCTCGGATTGAGCCTTCTTCAGACATTAAAATTCGGCGGACAAAATTTATCGTTAAAAAATCGTGCAGTTTCCATAATGATCTTTTGTGAGTCTTCATCGAAAAAAACGGACATTAAAGTTACACACGATTGAAAAGTCGTATGTATAACAATATTTCTGAAAACGATGGTACAAAACTTTCTTTATAAATATTAAACAAATTATGTCAAAATTTCTAAAAGAAAATCTCACCAAGAAAATCAAACAAATTAAATCAGCAATAATGTTATTTAGATGTGTAGGCATGGTTCCAGTAATATATACGTCAACCAAATACGATAAAAACCAAATAGGGTAAGGTTGCCGAAATAGCACCACTTTTCATATAAAGGCTTATAACTCAGAAAGTAAGAAGGATATTCTCAATTTTTTTGCGGCGTAATAAACTGTAAGCTTTTCTCTTTCTTATGTAATTTTTTCAGATTTTTTAATTATTATTATAATATTTTAAATAAAGATTTTTTACATACCTGTAAATAGTGCGATTTTGGAAACACGTTGCCTAAATCGCACCATAGGTTGTTTGATAAACAACAACAATGAAATGATTTCATGAGCGTTGCGGACGTTAAGTGAAATGCACTCACAATATATATTTACAATATATACTTTTACATAATAAAAAAAAAATAAAATGTAAAAAAATATATGAAATGTAATTAATGATGGAAATGGAGGGGGGATAGAGAAAATAAATTAAAAACTAAACTTTTTGTATTGAAAAATTACATTTAAACTCAAATTCTTTTGAAATATAAGCACATGTGCATGTGCTATATGCGCGGTGCGATTTAAGCCACTACATTGTAGTGCGATTGAGGAAACAGTAGCACTTTGTAAAATTTTATTTATTTAATTTACAAACAACATTGTTAAAAAAAATTTAATTCAATTAATCTAATTCTAATAGTGTTTTAAACACGATGAATTGTAGAAAATTAGATTATTTAACTTATATTTTTTACATTTTTGCTATGAAATATGTTGAAAAATAGCAACGCTATCACGATTTTTTTATTTACGTAAATAACAAGGCTTTTACTGCATTTCATGTCACAAATGTAACGCAGCAGCGTTGAAATATCTTATAGTTTGTAAATAATCCGTAAGAAAATGTGTAAATAAAATAACTGATTTTTTAGACGAGGTAGTGCGATTTAGAAGCCGGTGCGATATCGGCAACCTTACCCTAATTGAAAAGAACTCCTTGCAACATTATGGACATTGTGTAAGAACGACGTGTAACGTTTTTTTATATTTTTATACTTATTTATTATATAGTTAAATGTTTGTAGGCGATTTAGTATTAAGTAATGTTTCAATTTTATTGAAAATGACTAATTATATATTTTATTGTTTAACGAAAATTCTTTTTGACTCTTTAATCGCCCTTAACATCATTTTGTTTATAAATAATATAGCTATGCATTTTTTATAACAGCCTAAGAGATTATTACTCCCTAAGGGGGGATATATTATTATATTTAGAAAAATGTATATATAATATTTATATACTCACATGTACGGTTCTATCAGATTTAAGATTTAATATTTATTAAATATTGTTTACATAATATTTATATCTTTTATTTTTTCATGTATTTATATATATTCATTTTTACGCTTGTTGACAGAAAAAATGATTGATATTCTATTCCGAACTCACTCTGCAATTTCTGCAAGATAATTTATCACCTTTCCGAAGATTTTTTCGCAAATTTAGGAAAGAATACCTTTTAATAGGAAAGGAGTGAAAAAAAAAAAGGATAAGAACGATTGTCCAAAAACCTTGTGTCATAAAATCAGCATGCATTTCAACAATGACGACACGTAATATTTGCAACAATAAGAAAAACGAGCATAGCGTATAGGCACGTCTGTTATTTGTATTGTTGCAATCAAAGAGCGAAAATGTATGTTCTCTGCAAACGATTTCAGAAAAAGAGTCACGCGTATAAAGGAATACGAAATAAATAAGTGTATGGAAGTCTACAGCAAATCCTTTTTTCTCAAGTACAAGAAAAGAACGTGGGTAAAGGGTTAAATATAATTTTTTCCTTGCTTAACGTACTCTACCTCTGTTTCATAAATTCCGAAAAAACAAGAGAGATATTGCTCCAAGATTGAATCGCAAATATCCAAGGGTGTCGTAAAAGAACCTTTGTTTAATAAGCTAAAATATAAAATAAGACTTATAGTGGAAGAAATAAAGGATAGATTTCTATACCCTGTATATATATTCATATGAATGTATTTCTCATTATTCATTGCTGATTTGTTCGAAATTCATGTTGTCCGTATATTGAGAGAGAAAAAAAATATATATATATATAATATAGATTTATAAATTTGGCATTATAAGTAAAGATGGCCCTAAATTAAACGTGTCTACAAAGTTGAAAGCGTCATTTTTTCCGTCACTTTTTGTAAACAATTTGATAATGACGTTGCAATTATTTATAACTAAACGCTAAGATTGTGCTATAAAGTTGGAAAACTTTAACACTTTATATTAATATTTAGTGTTTAGTTATTATAAACAATTGCAACGTCATTATCGAATTGTTTATTATAAACATTATTATAAGCCTCGATAGTCTAAAGGTGACCTTACACGGTCAATAATACTGATCAGTAATACTGACATCAATATTTTTAGTATTTTCACAACTTTATACGATCAGTATTATTGATAATGCATTTCACTTTAATTTTACGTATATTATCTGTTGCACTCTGTAACGTACTGTAACATGAATTCTGATGCAAACGATATTGATGCTCGAATACCAAAATTTAGACACCGCCAGTATTCTATATCAATCCATCAATATTAACCGTATTTAAAATATACGATCAGTAATATTGTCAGTACTTATTAATATTGACAGTATTATTGACCGTGTAAGGTCACCTTAAAGGCTTAGGACGCTCGCACGGAATGCCAGAGATCCGGCCGAGGTAATATTTTTAGGCAATGGAAAATTAATCATTTGCAGATTTTTGTCATTCAACATTATTAGGATCGATCTAAAGATGTGCAAAGAGAGCATCAAAAATTGTTAAATTGTTAGTCAGTTTAACTCGTGATATTACTACGGTAGTTTGGTAGAATTGCGTTTCAAGTCCGAAAAAGATTCGGCATGCAATTAAAAATCTACAAACATAGTGTATAAATTCACACGTAATTATATAGAAGCATCCGAGATCTAGCAGTTACAGCATGTTATCTCATCGGTATTCATTGGTTGCAATTCTCACGGTCCAATAAGATTTGATATTGTTTATTATAACACTTCCAACTTTGCATTATATGTGTATAATACTGATCATTTTTTTGGAGGCGTCTTTTGCACATTGCGTCTAATCTCTATATTACAAATATTTAACCCTTTTATTCTGGAATATGTTTTTTTCGCTATCGAAAATATTTAACATACAGATCTGCTGTTTTAATGTCAAATTGATAATTTTTAGTGAAATAAATATCGAAATCAGATGGTGGGAATGGAGGGGAGGAGAGTTGGATAATGTGGGTAATGTAATGTATCATTAAGAATTTTACTTGGTATGTATGTATATATGTATCAACAGGTAAAAAACCACCACGATATATGTGCACCGCTCGGGGCGAAAGGATTAAAATTTTAGACTTTTCTAGATTTTTTAGCATACAGTTTTAGGACAAAGAATGGATTAGACAAAGATACTTGTCATAAATCTCGGACTTTTCATACTTTTACCCTTTTTTACCCTTTCTTATAGACATTTTTGCGAAACAAAGGTCCTTGCTACGAAAGTTCTTAATTCGAAGGACAATGCTAAAAAAAAGAATGTTGCGTGTCCCGAAGGAAATAAAATAAATATTTCCGGAAAAAAAAAAAAAAACCCTTTGACAAAGATGCACCAAACAATAAATTATCGACGACTTCTGAATAGAATTGCCGAATAGTACTAAACCGATTACATTGGTCAAGTTACAGTATTTGAAAATAAAACTGTGCAATAAATAATCAGGAGCGTAAATTATTTTGCATAAAAAAGTTTCTGAAGTTTTTTCAGAGTATATGGAAAACCATTCTATCGAATAAATTGGTCTATTGTAAAAATTATAAACGAAAAACTGATCCAAAGTTATTCTTTCAACAAGTCGACTTATATATTAAACAATATTTAGCGTTTCATAATGTGTATTACAAAATATAAAGAATAACAAATTCCATTATACATGCTTTCAAAGAAATTCATTTAGAATAAAAGAAAATGTTTTAGCTACATGATGTGTATACTATTGATCTCGGTAATTAATAAATGACACAAATTATAAAATAAATATATGTTGCAAACGGCTTACAATACAATTTATCTTACAAATATTTAATTCGCATATATATATATACTACAACTTTTGCACATACACTTCTTACTCATTGTACATGTAATAGACTTTATCTAATAAGTAATATATAATGTCATGAGTTTATGTGTGAAATAAATACTGGTCAACTTTTTATAAAAAGGATCAAAAGTGCTAGGAGCGAATATTTCTTTAATCTATTGGCGGATCTGTTTGAACGGTTTTGCTTTCTACAGAACATTCTTTGTTTAAGGAACCGTATTTATTTGCAATATTTACTATCTCTCGGAGCGTGGCGTTCTCCTCTTTTAAAGAATGGAACGCTTCCTTTTCCTTCAATTCATTCTCCTCATCTAAGGCAGCGGCTGTTTTCATTACGGCTGCCATTTCGTTAATTTTCTCCGCTTGACTGGTTATCATCTGTGAATTAACGAAATATATGTTTATTAATGAAATTAAACACAAACGTTGTATTTCTTTTTGGTTTTTTTTTTTTTGTAATTTTCTGCTAGATCAACAAGAGAATCTATTTACTTACATTAGCGTATTTCGAATTATGCATTGACGAATAATCAGTTTTACTGAGACGCAATAAAGAGGCAGTTTGTTGTCGATATTTAGACATTATGAGCTCGAGCGCATGCTGGTGATCTTCCAGTGCGTTTCTCAACTCCTTATTCTCTGCTTGTATTTCTCGCAAATGTTTGTTTTCCCTTTGTATTCCGGCAATCAGTTGCAAGTGAGGTCTTTGCTTTGCTTCTGTATTTAAAATTTCTACTTCTTCTTGATACTAAAAACATAAAAGTGATTATAAATATAACAAAATACAGTGATAATATGTAAAATATACATTGTATTGTAAAATATGTATTATATCTACCTGCTTCATGTTATCAATTTGTCCACACACAGCTTCTACCTCGCTTATCAAAGTATCTGCGGTATTCTCATGGTCTGAAATTCGAATGACCAATTTCTTGGCATCCAATATAATCTGCTGAAATGTCAACGACATCTGTAAACAAATACAAATTCTATTTATGTACCAAATAACAGTTATATTACTTCGTTATCAGATAAGTATCGTTCAATTGATCATCAAATAGTATTGATTCACAGACGCGAATGAAGGAAATAAAGCTATTATAGCGAACAGCACAATGCAAGTGCTTCTGCTTTTCAATTCTATATTAAATAGAATACATGGATTTAGGCCTGAATTTAAAAGTGAACAAAATCATCAGTTTTCCAAGTCAGTACTCCAGCATGCTGGATGAAATTACGAATACGAATGATTCCATCTTGTTGCCTTTCACATTCTACCCGATCCGTCATATAAGTGTTTCGCTTCTCCTTCACGCTATTTTCTTTCATCTACGTCCAAATTCGTCCCGAATATGAGTAGAGGAAAGGGGCCTCCTGGGACGCGTTCTCGAGGGAGGCTTTCGAGCGAGTCGCCGTCGACTTCCCGAATCGTATTGGACGAGTGAAAGAACGGTACTCACCTTTCGCGGGGTAGGCGACCTGCCAGGGCTTTCAGCGGTGACTCGCGGTTCCGTCGCGCATTCGGAGCGGGATTGATCCTCGCCGAGAACGGACGCCGAGGTTACGCGCGACTCCGCCGCTCGTTCCCGAGAAGACTCGACTCGCCCCTGAGGGCCGCCCTGCGTGCCGACGTGCGGTGATGCGATCCCGTCTTAACGCGCTCCTCGCGTCTCATTCCACCTCACGCGGCTGGGGTGCACACGACTGCACGTTAACACGTCAGCTGTGTGACGCCATGGAGTACTCGGAGGGGAAAAATGTGCGTATACGTGTGCGTGCTGTGTGTGTGCGCCATCGGGGCGACCAACGAACCGAGAAGAAAATGGCCGTTCGCAATTTGACATTTACCGCGAACGAGTACAAAGATGCTCGCGTCCTCCGGCCGGTCTTTTTATAGAGCCGCAGCATTGATCTAACGACGTTTCTTTGACAGTGATACATAATGTATGTTACACATAACTTTGAGCGTACCCGCTATGTAATACATAGCGGCAAATGTTTTAGTTTCAACCTTCTCACCTTGGCTTGGCGATTTTGATAAAAATACATTCATTCAATATGTCGGCGTATTTTTATCAAAATGAAAGGTTAAAGTAAAAATTATCTACTACGTAGCGAGTATATAATGAAGGAAATTCCCTCTAGACGGATAAAATCTCTTCCGATATCAAGCATCCACGATTTTTAGGGCATTTAGGCTGTGGTCCAAAGTCTAGCTACAAATGATTTGAAACGTTTTAATAGACCAATCAAAAAAAAGGAATTTTACAAATTGGCCAATTAAAAGATGCTTCAATGCATGGTGGAAATATATAAGGTGAAACAATGCGCATAATGGCGGCTGCTTAAAATTTTAACCAATCAAATTTGCCCGATGGGGTAACGCGTTAATTTTAAATGTTATTAAGTTACTTGGAAATAAAAACACCGTATTTATATAAAAAATTATTCATATTTATTAATGTAACGTTAAAAATTGCAATTTTAAAATAGTAAATAGCAATTAAGAAATTATATAATATAAAGAAAATAAACAAATGTAACTGAAATAAATGAATAAAATACAAAGTAAACAAGTAACAAGTTTCAAAGAATAATGTTACAAATATGTTTGAATTTTTCTTCTTATTTTTTTGTTTTAATCTGAGAGAGAAAACTTTATCTTCTTACACACTATTTCGGTTAACTTATCAAAAATTTTACTTTGACACTGAAATCATTGCCATGAAATGCAATGAATTCGATATTCATCACTGTGCCGACCCTGAATTTTGTATCACCGGGCATATTTGATTGGTTCACCGTTCCCCACTACTTTCATGCTACTGCGCATCCAACAGATTGCTTCACCTTATATATTTCCACCATGCTTCAATGCATTTGTACTTTGTAGCATCGCATTGACCGTATCCTCAATCGGAGGATTCGGAGGAAAAGGAAGAGGAAGAAACAAAGAGACAATAGGAGGGAGGGAGAGAAAGTATTCGCAACATTCATCTTTGCTATTTATTTTATATTTAAATATGGCGCCCCGTTCTGCGGTAATTACGGCTGATTTCAATTCGTCAACAGCCGCGAGTCGAGGCGGTCGATTCTGTATCTTGAAACGAATTGAAAGTTCTAAAAGTGAGCGAATTTACTAGAATATTAATAATTTTATTGGTTAGTACCTAATAAATTTGCTCACTTTCGTAATTTTCACTTTGTGTCAAGATACAGAATCAAACTCGAGAACGCATTTTCATGTAACTAGCTTCAGGGGACTTGCGCGGCGCGACAACCAATCGGCTCGCGTTCCTCCGAGAGAAAGAGAGAGGGAGAGATGCGCTGATTGGTCGGCGCGTCGCGATTCCGGGCGTCGAGGTGCGCGACTTTCCCGTCTCGACACCGAACGGTCGACGGCTCTCTCATCGCGAGGGGACACGAGCTCTTCTCTCGGTTCGAATGATTTATTCGTTTGTTCCACGTATGAAGAACTGCGAAATATTCGGCGACCGAGGCGTCGACTACGGGACCGAGCTCAAGTCGTCGCCGAACGTAGAAGAAGGCGGAGGAGGAGGATCTCGCGCACCTCGGAACGTCACTCACGTAATGTCCACGAGCGTTCTCTAGATACATAACGCAGGAGGAACTGCAGCGTTGAGCGCCCCCGAGCCAGGTTTCTCAAGTGCTCTCTGTGCGACACGCGGGTGGCCAGTGTGACGTGATGTAAATAAACGCTCGTAGATCCCGGTGAGCTCTGTGTATAACGACGTCGCGATATTCCCGTGGCCGAGGCGCGCTCGCGAGATCAGAAATTGCGTGAATATATACATCTATATACACACCATATTATATTATATATATATATATATATCGACACGACACCGTTAGTCGCGCGCGCATCACACATCCAAGCGCAATTTCCGCGCGCGCGCACGCTCAACGAATCGGGGGGGGCTCTCGCGGGAAGGAGAGCGAGAGAGAGAGCGAGTTTCTCTTTTCCCTTTTCGCTCCAAACGCTGGGACGCGCGCGCGCGCGCGCTCACACATACGGGGTCCCGCGTGCATTCCTGGTGCGCCGCGACCCAGTCAAGCCAACCGAAGCGCCCAGGCCTGGACGAGCAGCTCTCTCTTGGGGGAGAGCCTCGTGTTTTGTTTCTCGCGCGTGCGACCAGAAGCAACTAGAAGCAGCGTGCCGACAGTACGATGTTTCGAGCGTCGCGCGCTTCGTGAGAGAGAGAGAGAGAGAATCTCTCCCGTGGATCCACGACGCCGCGCAATCTCTCCCTCAACGTTCGTTCTCTCGACTGGAGATACGCGCGCGGAGGCGAGAAGAGGAGACAGGTAGAAGAAGCAGGATAGAGAGAGAGAGAGAGAGAGTAGTCGGGGGGAAGAAGTGAACGAGAAGCGAATTTCCAGCTCCCTCCCCCTCCCCCAACTCCCTCATCCCGTGACACGCCGACGGGTCCACAAGCGGGAGAGATAGGAGCAGGCTCGGAGGACATCTCTCTCCTCTCGGCTGCAACTCCCCAACCCCCCCCACTCCTCCTCTCTCCCGCCTGCCTTGTGAATTGCGCGCGAACAGCATCGCTGATCGCAGGATGGCTTCGTCCACGGTGGCTGTCTCATCAGGAGCCACCTCGGTGCCGACGGTGACAAACGGTAGTGGAGGCGGCGGCAGTGGTGGCGGCGGCGGCGGTGGTGGCAGTGGCGGTGGTAGCAGCAGCAGTGACAGTAGCAGCAACGGCGGCATCGTCGTCGCGGCTGGCACCGAGGAGATCGACGGCGGCGACATATTCGGCGAGCGCGGGAACGTCAACTCCGTCGGCGGCGGCTACAACAACGGTGGTGGGAACCCCGGGGACGCCCTGGAGGAGATGGCGTGCGGCAACGGAGAAGCCAACAGTCAGGGCTGCGCCCTGTGTATGAGCAAGCTGTGCTCGCCCAGGGTACTCACCTGCCTGCACGTGTTCTGCGAGGCGTGCCTGGACAAGCTGCTGATGGACGAGGCCGGGGACTCCAAGGTCGGCTCCGTCATAAGCTGTCCCGTATGCCATCAAGAGACTTCCGTTAGTTCTAAGGGCGCCGCGTCGCTCACGTGTGACTATGTTCTCACCAATATATTGGATATGTCCGCTATCGAGAACATGGCAGTCCTGTGTACCTCCTGCAAGGCCAAAGAGAGCGCCGTGGCGCGTTGTTCGGACTGCGCCAATTTCCTCTGCCCGCATTGCAACACGGCGCACCAATTCATGCGCTGCTTCGAGCACCATAAGGTAGTCGCCTTCGAAGATTTGAAGCAATCCAACGAAGCTATCCCGATACACAAGCCGATCTTTTGCGAGTGTCATCCCGCTGAGAATATGAAGTTTTACTGTTACACATGCCAGGTAAATAGAAAATAGACCATTTTGTTTCTGTATAGACGTTAGAATTGTCACTTGGCATTTAACATGTACTATAAGAAATTAAAAATTGATCTTATCATTGCAACATGTACAATATAGATGCTTGCAATATTACTTATGCGTTGTAATTTAAATTACAAATATAATTTTCCACAATTTTAATTAACTTGTATATGTAATTCATTGAGAGAGATAAAGAAAAGTAGTTGTTAATTTTAAAAATAGATAAAAATAACTTATGTAGCAAAAAATGTTTAAAATGTATTTTTTTTTTTAATAAAAAAGATACTTTATGTATTTGTTTATGTATTATATGTATTCATGTTATACGCCTAGAGTATAATTGTATTAGTCTTATTATATGTTTAATAGAGTTATAAATAAGAAGTGTTAAATTGTATGATTAGGAACCTATTTGCAATGAGTGTTTGCTCGTGGAACACAAAGCACCAGAGCATCAATATGAACGACTGACAGATGCAGAACCACGACAAAAGGAAGAAATAATTAACCTGATGACTGAAAGCAAAGCAAAAATTACTGAATGCGATCAGGTTACGGTACAATTGGAAAATGCACTTAGTGAGCTGCAAGTACAACATGATCAGGCAAAAGATTTAATAATGGAAACATTTCAAAGTTACAAGGCCATACTAGAGAAATGTAAAGACAATGCATTAAGTGAACTCGAAAAATTGCATTCAAACAGGGAACTTGAAATTATGGACGCTTTTCATAGGTATATATATTTAATTGTAGTTGTTTTAATTGTTTATTATTATTATATTGCTTATGTTACATATTAAAAACTAGAGATTAAAATAAAAGATATTTGTATTAGAAAGAACAAAAATAGAACAAAATTTTTTAGCAATAATGTTTCTTGAAAATAAAACTGTCTTATGGTAGAAAAACTGTCTTACGATAGAAACATTTCTCTTTTTATAAACATACGTTTAAAATTTTACAGTGTTGAAAAGACTGCAGAAAAAATAGAAGACGCTTGTCGTTTTACCTCAAGGTTGCTAGAACACGGCGATGCGGTAGAAATCTTAGCGCTTCGGCGTATTGTAGGAGCGCAGTTGATGAATTTAATAAAAAATACACCAAAACACAATGTAACCTTCTCTATCGAATTTCAAACCGACTATAATCAATTTGAGAAAACTGTGAAGGTGAATATGTTGCATGATACAATACATTTTATTCAATCATATATTTTTTTATTCTTAGTTATCTATAACATCTGTGGTGTGAAAAATTATTACAGGAAGTGTTTGGAAAATTTCACACCGAAAGTACACTAGAAGTGAAACCTCATCCTGAACCAATTTCAACAGTATCAGGTGTCTCTACAAATCAGCAAATAGTTCATACCACCTCAATGGGTTGCCCAAGTTCTATTAGCACAAGCTCGCCCATTTCACTTCC